AATATATTGATTATATGTTAACATGAGAATGAATATATTGATTATATGTTAACATGAGAATGAATATATTGATTATATGTTAACATGAGAATGAATATATTGATTATATGTTAACATGAGAATGAATATATTGATTATATGTTGACATGAGAATGAATATATTGATTATACATATACATGCATGTTTACTTAATATATATGAAATGAATAAGAAGCATCAAAAATTGTTTCAAATTTAAATTCCATGCCAAAAAGATTAAATTTTCAAAGGAAAGTAAAACTACCCAAACCTAAACTACCCAAAACTACCCAAATCAAAAACACCCCACCCAAATTCCCCGAACTAGAAACACACCATATAGATTACGTCGCGTTTTTTTGCTACTCGATTACAAGCCAGCTTGGATTACCAAACTCCGATAATTGCAAAGTTTTGTATCATTGCCTAAATATGTAATTCTCCGCGCAGTATACATACTATTTTGTCTTTTTATCAATGTCTTCCTTAGGTATGCTTTGCAATTATGTCTCTTCGACTCCATGCAAACTTTCTTTCTTCCGATAATTACTGATGAGTCTTCTTTATCTCTTATAGTATGGTGTTTTAAAAATCTTATCACTCTTTACTTTCTCCTCTTTTCTGACAGTATTTTTCACCCTAAACTATTAGTGTTGAAGTTTTTCATGCTGAAGAAGTGATATTATTTAACAGAGGGCTTTTCATCTACTGGTTTTTTGTAATATTCCGGATTTCGGAACACTGCAGTTCCGGAATACTGTTTATATGTACTTTTTAGCCAAAATTAAACGATTAAATGGCTAAAGATTTAAACGAAATAAGAAGGGAACTAGCTGATCTTGTAAAACGCCGCACCGAACTTGCAGTAAGTTCATTGCTCAAGTTAAAATCACTTTTCATTTCTCCATCATTTATTTCAGTCTTTCTCTTTATGATCCATAAGTTAATTTGAATTCTTTTACACAAAACTTGAACATATGTTCCATACCTTCTGTGTAAGGTCTGATATGATATCTCATTTAAAGCTTCTTATGTAATAATTTATAGTTTGTTTAAGCAGTCCTTTAGCTCTACTTTTCAATTAGGTTTTTTGGAATGAAGCTTCCTCATCTATTACATTTTTTTTTTTTAGGAAACGCTTAGCGCCCTTGAGCAGCAAATTTACAACTTCGAAGGCTCATACTTAGAGGAAACAGCCGACTACGGAAATGTTGTAAAAGGTGAGATATTGTTACGTTGAATTAAACAGAATCTTCTAAACTGTTGTCTGTTTTGTACTGCTAGTCATTTCGATTGGCCAGGAAATTATTTATCACTGAATTATTCCAGCACACTAAGTCTTCTTATGCTGACCATTGATCTTGTTTAATAAAATTTTAGTCGGTGATATCTTTGTAATCATGGATTCTGCTGTCTACTCCAACGTTTTCTATTAATATTTATGAGTTTCTGGCATATTCATTTCAGCAACTTTCAAATATTTAAAGAAGGTCAAATAATTTATAGTGTTTTATAGGCTGGGATCGATTAACACTGGTTGCACCACCGTCAAAAAATAGTTTGAAATTAGATAAAAAAGGTGCAAGGAAAGGTATGCGCGAATCAGAACGCTTATTTTCCAGTTCTTCAGTTACATCACCAGCATCATTAAGTCGTAGCACTATTCAGCAACCGATACATGAAGAGAGTCCAAATAACAGTCCAAGGCATTTACCGGGTAGAGATGTTCCATCGAAGAGAAGTGGTAGCAAAAAGAAGTCACCAAAATGATTGGAAATGCGTGTGAGAATCGCAGTTTCTTCCTTTGTTTTATACTTATGGCATTGTTCAGTTTCAAACCCTGATCTCTAATTTACTATCTTAATCATAAATTTAGGGTTTGGTCCTTTTTCTTAGATGGGAATAAGGTTTTTTTTCAATATAAATTGCTAACCTTTTGAATGGACGGCAGTCGTAACTGATATCGTAAATGGAAATTTTTGCAATATTGAGTTATAGCTGTATGCGTATTTATGTGTTTTTGTGTTTAATTGTATGAAAAATAAAAATTCCATACAAATAGATCGTCTGAAGGAGTTCATATTGCTGCTTTAGGCAATATTTATTTTCCATCGTGATCAGTTGGTCATTTTTGAGATTCAATAAATTATATTTAAATTTTCTATCATCGAAAAGTTGTTTTTTCATGCATATCTTTTCTTTTATTAGTTGGATTTTAAGAGTGCAAGGTTGTTCATATGTTATCATTTTTCTTCTGTATATTATTTGTACAAATTACTTTCTGTGTTATGTTTAGGACGATTTACATGAAAGTTACGAATAAACAAGATTAGGCATGTTTCTGCCAACTCAGGATTTTTTCCTTTGCCATGGCAACAATTAATGTCATATCCTGAAATTCTAATTTTATCTCTGTGAATTCGTCCGTTTTGAATTATCACTTGGCTTGTCATTATATCAATTTCTCAGTAAAAATAAGTACTTTTTGTTATTTGTGGTACAGGATTCGCATATGCTCCTGAACTTATTTATATGTTTGTTCAAAAAAGCACTAATAAAATATGTTAGAACAATGTGCAATAGAAAGATTTTCCAGCATACAAGCTATATGAAATATTCCGAGAAATTTTAGTAATTTCAAACTTCTCGAAGCAGATGCTGGAATATGAGAGGTATATTGTGGTATATGATTTATGAATTTAAATCTTCTCTATTTCGAATAGCTGCAAGTTATACTCAATAAATTTGTAAATGCAATGTGGACTTGCGTAGATTGATAAAAGATGGCGATCATTTAACTTGCAAAATGAGCTGACTTTGAAAGGAGAATGAATAAAGTTTACAGATTTTTTATGGTGTATTTGGATGAAGCAGTATAGGCTCTCCTGGAGTATAGGGTCACATGTGCCCTTGAACTTGTTTATGTGTTTGTTATTCAAAAAGGCTCTAATAAAATATATGTTATGACATTATGCAGTAGGAAGATTTTGTCAGCATACAAGTTATATGAAGTATCCCGGAAATTTTTAATAAAACTGTTTTCAGGTGCATCTGGGACGGACTCTCACTATTCAATGATAGCCACTTAATCAATTAACAGTTACCGGAGGAAGTACAAGTTAATAAGTGAGGATGGATAATGAATTTCTATATGTTCATAGCTGTGACCTCGAAGGGAACGTACAGTTACGAATTGGTTCTTTGGAAGGAAGTGTATCACTTTTAGATAAATCTTATCGTGTTATGGGTGGCAATTTCTTCATTACCGCTTCGGTTAACTCTTTTTTAATTCAAACTTCTGATTTTTTTGAATTTTTTTCGAAATTAAAGTTTGAATATTGGAGTATTCCGAAACTCCACAATTATTTTCGGCACTTTTGCAAATTGGAATGGATAAATCAACTTAACTTTAATTTAGATCTGGGTAATCTTCCATATTATTTCAGGAATGGTAAGAACATTGAATCTTAAAATTCTTTTTATTTTTTGACAGTTTTTTAGGTTTATTGCAATAAACGACAAGCGGGTGTGCCAATTTGGACGTCATATAAACCTCCACCAAGTCATGTTCGTACAACGCTTCATTCCTGGGATGAATGGATTTTGTTACCAGTCAAAATAAGGTGTACTTATTGCGTGATTCCATTAAAGATATATGCTTCGTCGGAAAAAAAAACTGAATTTCATGGCTGCTAACAAAGATTTGAGGAGTTTGCGGCTTCAAAATTTCAAAAGAAAGGTTCTTAATTTAGTCTCGGGTTGATGAAAAAAACACGGCTACAATTTGTTAGCGGAAAATCAAGATTAGATTTCTTTGTTCAGAACATATTTTTTGTACCAAAATGCTTTGACCAAGTCTTCTCTTTTATTCTCCATCGGTAATAGCTTTTTTCAGCTTCCTTAAAATTGTGATTTAAAATACTCAGAAATGCTCATAACATTGACTTCTTTATTTTCAGTGAGCTGAGTCTTGATTCATTTATCCATGCATGCCTGTGGGATGTATCAGATAGCCTAGAAGCAAGATTTATAGCACATTCGTCCGTTTCACTATTCAGCAAACGTGGAGTTCTTCGATCCGGCACCATTGCGCTAAAAATGGAAGTGGCCACAAAACCTGATGATTATTTGAGGCCACCTTTAGCATCCAAGGTCCGATTTGACGGAATGATGCAACTTCACAATTCCTTTTTTTTTCAGCTTCTTGCATCTCGTTCATCCTTATTGTTAGTTGAGGTTAAATTAAATATCTGATATTACCGAAATTAATTTTGATTAATTCTTGTCTTTTATGCATAAGTGTTGCGTCAATATCATTTGGTAAAAAGTGAAATAGTTTGATAAACCTCATTCGATAATATTCCTGTTGTAAGTTCCTTAGTGTTGGGAGAGTTTTTTTTTTTTTTTCTACCTTGAGAGGAAGGATTGAGAAAATATTATTTATATATTAAATTATTTGTATTGTTATAGTTCACGAAACAGACAGGTGTTGATCGTTTACAAAAACGAACAAAAGAATACGGTGAGAGATTGATCGAGCATGTTGACTGGCTTGATCGACTCACGTTTCCACGCATTGAACAGATCAAAAAAGAGGTTAGTTCCTTTTGATGTTTATCGTTGTAACTAGTCATTCTGGTGAAGTGTGAAATTTTCTGGGACAGGGGCGAGAAATGAATTAAATGACTTAGTAATGAATACTGAATAGAAATCAACACAACTGATTGGAAAAAATAAAGTACGCTACTAGCAGATGGAGCATTAATTGGAATTACATTTCAGCGTGAAGTCGAACAGCGTTGTTTGTATTTAATTGTCGAAATGGCTCGAGTTGTTTGCGGGGATTCCACGATCTCTGTAGTTTATTACGAGGATGAAGAGGAGTTAAAAGCACGGAGTGTTTATCCATCAATCGATCCAGAGATAGATTTGGAAAATATTTGTGAACTCAAACATCACATGATGACACGTTCCTCACGTGCTGATCCTATTGAACGTGAACTGAAACCCAATGCTTCTGCACGTCGTTCCCTGGAGAAGATAATCCATGTATACTATTTTATTTACTGTTGGTAACATCAGATCTACAAAATTTGTTGTTTTCGCTGATTTTTCAAGAAATTTAACATTTCTTATCTTAATATATAGTTTCCTGTAAGGGGTTAGTTTGTGCATATTATGGAGCTAAATGTACTATTAATATCCTTGCTACCTTGTACATCGACCACATGCTACTTTTTTCTAGCCTAGTCTTCAGTTTTATTTATAAATACGAAATTTATTGAGAGAAGTGTCCCTCGCCTTCAAAATAATGCTATATTTTTAATTCTAAAAGCTCAGCACATTTTTCAGTCCACTTTACTCTGGATAGCTAATGATTTTGTCTATTTCAGTTACCACCAGCACACGCAATAAGCTTTGAAGAACGTGATTTAATCTGGAAATTCCGATATTTTCTTCGGAATAATCGTAAAGCATTACTAAAATTTGTTCGCTCAGTGGCTTGGAATAAAAATGAAGAGGCAGCATATGCCTTAGTCCTTGTGAAGTAATTATTATCAAATATTCCAAAGAATAATGCTACGGGCTCCACATTCATGTATAATGCTATAGACTCCATACATTTAACCTTTAGAAATCCTTGGTAGTATTTAGGTGATAGGTTATAACTTTTTTTGTGACTAATCACCATTCACTAAAAAAAAAATATTGGGGTTTGAGAAACTACAAGTAATGCGATTTGAAATGAAGAGTAGGTCTATTTTCTGCAGTTCATTAAAAAATTTTTTCAGGTTGAAATATTAAACCTTCCTGTTTACCGAATTAAAATTTTCAGAGAATGGTCACCGCTAGAGGCCAGTGACGCTTTGGAACTTCTTTCGCCAACATTTCGACACATTGAACTGCGTCGCTATGCGGTATCACGTTTATCACATGCTAAGCCTGAGCATATTCTATTATATTTGCCACAGCTTGTGCAAGCACTTAAATATGAGCGATTCGTAATGAATACTTCGAAAGAATTAGAGGTATTTTTATTTTTTTACTATTTCTTCGAAAATTTCGATAACTTCAGTATTTTTTCCAGCTTTATTGGCTCGTGATGGCAAAACGGACAAATACTAAGTTTAGGATAGGATAACTTGAAATAATATATCCTTGTCAGCATTTCTTTAATATTCATGGAAATGCATAAAGGATTAGAAAATCTTGGCATTTCTTTTCTTTTTTTTTTAAAGCATGTGGCGATTCTAGAAATCAAGTAAAACACCAATTGTTATATCTTTTTATCTTTGTATGGTTCTTCTGTTTGTTATGTATTGAACAAGTATTTTGTGCTGAAGGGCTTAATTACCGTTAAATGTAGTTGTATGTCAATCTGTTTTCTTGGGAATTTTGTTACAATAAATGTTAT